AAGCCGGCACAAAAGCAGTAGGAGCAGCAGTAGAAGCGGGGAGCATGCTGTCATCTCGTGCCCCACTAAACAGGGGTTGCAGCTCAGGCCGCTGCCGCCACAACGTATCCGCCACAGAAAGAACTTCATGCACTCCCGAAGCAGACAAAATGGCTCGTGATGGGCATTTCATGTAAGGAAAATCGGGAGAATCACCGCGGTGCCCTCCTATGCGCGTATCACTAGCAAGGTCCCAGTCTCGTGAGCGACGAGCAAAAGCATCATGAGCCGGCATCCCGCAGGTAATCGCCAATAAGGGCGAAGTCTAAATTCTCGTGGGTGGTGAGACCTAACAACAAGCAACGTGGTGGTCGTGAGCAAAGCGTGCCTCGGCGCACGAAAAGGGAAGAATCGCGTCCAATTCTCTCTTACCGTGCCTGCCAGACTGACGCCAAGTTTAAAGGAATGCCCGCCCGACGGTGGCTTGCCTCCTAGATGTAGTAGATGTAGATTCTGCCGTAGACACTCTTGTCCACGAGCACTTTGAGACAGGAAGGTTGCTTGTTATTGCAGAAGCGCGTCTGCTACAGGTCTGAGGTGAGGCGGATTGCCCTCAACCTGGGGGCACGCAGATAGCTAAGTCCCGATGGGGTACGTCCTAAGAGGGTATACCTCCTGACGTCCCCCATCTTAATCTAGACCGACTGTGTACCCTATCTGTGCCATACAGCAACACTCCTTAACAGAACCCTGTGCCACCGGTCTTCTCTTGGTCAGTATTATTAACCCCTTTTCTTGAGTTTCTGGAATTACTGTAGGTCGCCCGCAAGGTTGCGCTTAACGTTTTCGGCATAGTTTCTGGTGTGTGCCAGGCCTTCATGGATTTTCTCGTGGTTGCTCCATTGAGGAGGTTCTCGAGTACACCTTCCAACCCTCGGGTGTTCTCCGTTTCATCTCTGCTCCTTCCAGGCTGCCATTTTAGCTATGTACACTTGCCATCTCTCTTGGTTTGCGGCGAGCAACCAGTGTTTCGAATGCAGCCGTTGTGCCATAGAAGAAGTAGGCATCTCCGATAGGACTTGAGGACGACTGGTTACACAGCGAGCGGTAGAAACTAGCTACTACTGCCCTCCGTTCAATGCACGTGACTGATCCAAGATATCATCTTGAACATCGCAGGGGTTTACAATGAGCGGCATTTGATTCGTAGTCTCCAGCTCAAGTTGCACACGCCCCCAACGACCTGCACATGCCAACCCCACCTGCATTTACAACTGTGTATGTCCGTGTGTCGAAGCGCGCTGGTTCTGTGCGCCATACTATTCACAGGGATAGGTGTTCGCCGACCACCAACTGACAACCAACAAGGAACAGGGAGTACAACACACATGTCGAAGATCGTGTGAACTCGCACACGGTGACCGAATGATGCATACTAGGGGCAACCCTGTTCACCTTGATGTACTACAGTATGGTATCCACGTATTTCTTGATGTACAACCCGACGCAAAACAGGAGCGCGTGTGCAGTACTACATTTAGCCCGATCAACGTCAATTACTGCCACGTCAGCAGAATGAATTGGCACAACAATGCAGTGTGGCGGCCATCTTTCTGTATTTGACAATAAAATATGCGGCAAGGTGTCGAGGAAGATGATGTTAGGAAGATGTTGGCGTCGGGTAGAATATTTTTTACGCTTGAGGAAACGTAGACTTACCATTCAATCACCACAAACAGGGTTTTCGCCTGATTGAGAGCGGAGTATACGATTGAGAGCGGGAGCCAAAAAAATTGAAATTTCGGGTCCAGACGCCTCTTGCCATTTCTTGGGAAGTAGGGGGCGGGCTCTTCCAAGAAGCGGCGCAAATTGAAGGTCTCATGAGCAGCGTCACGAGCATATGCGTGTCATCGCGATCAGATGCTGCAGCTAGGAGCTAGACAAGTTGCTAGATTTCCCCAGATTGGCTATTCCTGCCTCAAACTGTTTCAGGGCGATTTGATCGCGGGCGGTGAGCTCTCCTGTAGATTCTGCTCCCCGCTGTAGCTCCACAACGAGAGACGCCCACAGGATGACCAGGGTATCGGCTTGTAGCTACGGGCTAGGCCTTCCATTCAAGTCACGCAGCAAGCGCCACCTCTCAGCGGTAGTCCAGCTACAGCGCATCGCGCAATCTCGCTCTCAATCAGAAACTTCGCTCTCAATCACAGGAAAACCTTTTTCACAGCAGTCACATAGACAAGAAAGACTATCCCGGACTCCTTTTTGCTGTGGGCATCAAGCTTGTTGCGATTTGTCGATAAAAGAGTCTATCGCCCATTGCTTGAGTACTATTTGGGTCCGTTGCCCTTGTAACGCTTGCGAACCATCTTTCACTGCAATAGGTTTCAGCTAGTTCACATATAGTTGAGTTCAACGTTATTTACTCGCGACGCCTTGACGATCACTACTACGTAGCTACATTATTGCTGTGCTCCGTGTTTTTCGGAAGGACGAGAGAATATTTTGACAATAATATAGCCAAACGCCACATCATGCGGCGAACGGAGTGAATCCCAGTTCAATGGAAGGACCCATGAAGAGTGAGAGTCCTTCGTAAAGTCCTGAAACACCCAAACCCTGACTACATCCTTCCAACTCCTCAAAAGCGCCTGGGCACAATGGTAATAGACAGTGAGTGGCAGTAAACATTGCAATATTCTTGCCTCGAGCCTGTGAAACTGTTGTCGGTGCAATGTCCACCTTTCCGGGGCCGTAAAATGTGTTTTGCTCACAGCCTTGGCGCCGTAGTTTCGCAATGTGAACCTCGAGTGAAACGTCGAAACAAACATCAGTCACGATGGACGCCGAAAGGCTTCAAGATCTGACCGGTCGGGTACTATTCTCCTCACCGCCTCAAACGACGACTTATGAGATTGTTTTCACTTCACATTGTTTCACTTCCCACATTTTGCGAAACATATCATCGCCCAATCATTGTCGGAATGAAAAAGCCACTCAATAATGGCGATTTGATAGCCGCCGCAGTCTAGTTGGCTTCCTCAAAAAACTTCTAGTGGTCGGAATCAGGGGTTCGAATCCCGGCATAAGCGAGCTTGCCAAGTGAGTTCTTCTCTCGCTTCCGTTCCTGGCCTTGGTGGAAAGGTTTGGTCTTATTCGTGTGTATACAAGAGGGTTCTGTACTAATCTCGAAGGCAAAGTACCACAGGAGGGGTGCTTGGGGGACCTCACGGAGATGGACCCTTCTGTGTGACCACGGATTGGAGAAAACGGCGCAAATGCTGTGAGCGCTGATTTGGAAGCAAGGACAAAAAAGAAAAACTACATTTTCTTGAACAGATAAATATCAAAGGCAGCTAAAGTTCTCGTGTCGAGGTTTTCACTGGTATGCGAAGTTTGAGGTCATGCATCCATATTTGATTGGGGAAATTTACCGTTGGTGTCCGAAGCTCTTGCGATGTATTTCCATCAAGGGACACGAAGGAGCGGCCGCAACCGTTTAAAACGCGTCAAACAGAGCGTACAGTAGTGCACCGGTACGTTGTTTTGATTACTGTCCTCTACAAGGCGGTGCGGGATAACCAAACGGAACAAACGGCCAATCTTTCCGGTTCAGCGAGTTCTCCTCGTCTCAACGGTTTCGGTGCTGTGCAGGAGAGCAGGAATGACGACGACAGATCAAAAACAGAAAAAATGCCGACCGCAGTGTGGTGGAGAACATACCACAACTCAGTATAGCCTTTGCAGTTGCGACATGTTTTTTTACAAAGATATATGCGGTTGCCGAAGAACCAGAAATTATATTTTTTTGCCAATAAACACAAGTGTCGGGTGCATCGCATCGTAACACGGTGCTGATTCTCTCGAGGCAAAGGGAAAGATATTCTCATTGGGAGGCATTCGAAGTGCTCGTTCACTTCTCGATGATGTTCATCCGGGTGAATGGTCGGGGCCGAAGACAAAAGCGCATTGGTTTTCGATAGTATATGGTACAAGAGATGCTGAATGGCACGTACGTGTCTCTAACCCACACGCGCAACTCAGGTGCTTCTCGGACGGATCCGAGATATTACTTATTTCGTGGTCAGGGCTTCCACGGTAAGGCGGATTCCCATCAGAGAACAAAACGACAAATGTTACGAAAGTGTGAAAATATTGAATCCTGCCGGAAGGGAATGAAGACTAGTTCGCATGCTAGCCTCCCAAAGAAAATTCCATCGAGACCATTTGGTACTGAATTCAATACTGGTCCATGCGTAATTCAGTTCAAGGGATTACGTGTAGCCATTACATGAAGCCGTCACGGACAGCTTATCAAAAGATTATTTCACAGGCCAGATCATTTGCATGAGAAAGGCTTACAAACACACACGGCACCTGAGATCTATCCAAGCGGAAAGTGAATACAACGGTTCCGCCATAGAGCGAGCGCCCCATCCACCCGCCCGAAATGTGCCTTACAAGGCTCCACCTAAAGTAAAACATCAACGTTCACCTGTTATCTTCCTGTCCATGCCACGTTGATCGACGTCTTAGGTTGGCCAGTCGAGCAAGCACTATGGCCTTCGAAACGGAGCGTGATTTGGCTCGTTCAAGCCCCGAAAGTGCGCCACTCTTTGCTATTCGATGGATCGAAAACCGGTCGACGGGATGAACGTTCTAGGTCGACGTGATCAAGACGAACCCAGTTCCGTGAATCTCTGTCATGTCCTACCCGTCCCTTTGCCTGCGCCCTCGCTGCTCTAGGTCGCTGAGTGCGACAATGAGAATGGGATGAGGTACGCCACTCACACACTAGCACCAACAACGTTCGCATTCGAATCCGTGCCACGACAGCCATCTGGCTTCATCAAGTTCTCCGTAGCGAGTGTTCTCCAGGCGAGTGCTGCCACCAAAGCCAGAGCCGCAGCGGACACGTTGAACACGAAGCGGTAGTCCACCCAGCCACCGAAAGCGTCAAGCGTGGAGGGAGACACAGACCATGCGTATACAATCGCATAGCCGGCCGGGCCTATGAAGCGACCAAGGCTTTCGGCCGTGTTGAAAAGCCCGCCGAGCTTCCCCCGCATGTTCGACGGAACCAGAGTGGTTGACCCTATGGACAAAGCCAGGTCGACCTGCTTCGTTTGCGAATGTATATCAAGCGCTCGGAGTTAATCGTATGGGCCATTTCGGAGGGGTGGGGCTTCGAAGGATTGCGAAGACTTCTTGAAGGCATGTTCAGGAAACAGAATGGTGTTTAGGTTAAAGCCACCCTTGTGCTTGCCGTTAACAATGTGACAGGTGGAGAGACCTACTCAGGAGAGCGGAAGGCATGGTGTACGTAGCTGGCTAAATGGGTGTCGGGGATGGCCCAGCCTTCGCTAGCACCTGGCTGACCGGACAAACGGAAATGCTAGGGGTAATATTTACCTTTTTGCCAACGCGGGGTTACCTGGTGGTCGCCGTCAAGACCCCTGAGGTATTTTTTCTGGTTTCGCGACTGTCGACATTTTCAAAACATTCTCCGTGATTCGAATACCTCGGAGTAGTGTAGTGTCTGGTCTACATAGAGATGTATCCTGAAATACAATGAATTGCCTAACGCACGTCGACAGCTGTTGTCAGGCAGTCGTCTTTTAGTGTACAGACCGCTTCTCGTCTCAAGGGCATGGAGGGGGGCCGACCTGGTCAGCAACCACACTACCCGACAAGGTACTGGACAGAGGCTGCATTCGACATGAACACAACAACAACAACAACAACAACTCACCGCCCCGCAGCCGCAATTTGCGAGCGTGTCGGCCGCTCTGGAAACGCCGACAAGAGAGTTGAAGTTCCAGCTGAAGACATTTACCGCAGGGATAGCAAGGAACGTGGCGATTCCGATTCGGCAGCCTAGCCGTTGCCAGGTCGTGATGCCGACTATTTTGATGAGAGGGGGGAACAAAAACAGCTGGCAACATGCCATAAGGACGCCCGTCATGACCAACACCTGGCGCACGTCGAACAAGCACAAAAGCGAAACACAGGTTGGTACGCGTGGTTGATGCTCGCCGGTGCACGGTACGTGCAGACATGCTCCCTTGAATAACCTTGACGCTGGACCCTTACCCCCAGTCTCCTACCGCGCCCCCGCCACCAGATACCCAGTGCCATTTACTCGACGAGAATATTTTCCCAATGACGGCTTCTACCTATACTCTGATCGGCCTGCGACCGTGGTCGACGAGCTAGTCAACTGAACTCATATACAGATACATTCAAGGGAGGTTCGCGGCGCTGGCGGTCCGCATGCCAGCCCCCTTCATTCTCGCCACTACAACCCTGGTGACCCTGAAGTTAAAAAGCTATGGAACCTACGTTCCGTACTATTGACGTACCCGCGCACTGACGTGGATAAGGATGGGCATTATACATACTTTGGTAGATTTACCAGCCATCTGGCGTATCGACGACAAGCTCAGAGGATAAACCTCCATCGACGATAAATACAAACAAGCTAGCGCTGTACCCGTGAGGTGCACCAGCCGGTTTCATGGCAACGGGAAAACATTGCACTGTCTCCCGAGAGCACCAAGTATCTACAACAGTGTCATTCAGGTGGCAACGAGGTGCCGCCCTGGCAACGCACTCAATCATCTCCCGTAGCCAAGCGAGCCCGATGAGCACGCCCCTGCCTGGTCAATTCAAACTCGACAAACTAACATCGACCGTGCACGCCGTGCGTTTTGGNGCGAGCACCATGCGCACGCCCCTGCCTGCTCAATTCCAACTCGACAAACTAACATCGACCGTCCACGCCGGGCGTTTGGGGTACATATTATTTTCATCCAAGACAAGAGCGCCAATGCGGCGGGTAGTCGCCACGCGCCTTGGTACACGCCGGCTGCATCGAGAAATCTCTGCACACGGGTCAACCGGCCCAACAACCATCGCCGACCGACTTCACCTTTCCAATCTCTACGGTGCTCCAGCCAAGCCCTCCGACGTCCGGGGTGCTCAACGCGAACAGCGGGTACACCTCGTCGAAACCGATCGAAACGGTCTGGGTGTTCGTTTGCCGGACAGCACGCGGGAGGATGGGCACAACCGCACACCCGCGGGATCGAACCCGAGATTTCATGGACCGGCATGGGAAAGGAATCATGAGGTACATTAGGCCGTTCGTTGGTTGATCAAGGACGAATATCCGCACCACCTTGGTCCAAACGAACGAAAGTACCCACGGTAGGTCGAGGGCGGAGCACCAAGGGGCGTGAAACAACGGAATCGCCCGGGGGACCATATTTCAGCGAGCAATTTGGTGGAATATCGAGATGGAGAGCGGGAGCCGGCAGATGCTGAGTGGCGTACGAACGCCACCGTGTGAGTAGGCCAAGATCGGGATGGCCTTGTGACGCCAGAGTGGGAGCTATCACACATGCCATAGACCAAAGTTGATCGCTCTAACCCTCCACAACCAGAAGGGCACCACTGCTGACAAGGGCGACCTTAGACAGATCCCGTCAAAAATAGAGCTTCTTCCCAGCATGGATCGGTCGGTGTTGGAACCATTTGGTTGTCAAGCAATCGAGTCTTGATGAATACCGCATCAACGGTACTCGCCGAGACAGAATTTAGGGGGGGGCCCTCGAGGCGTGCACAACGCGCGCGCACAGTGGGCTTCGGGAACTGTCACAGGCCGAAGCTGACCTCCCTTACCGTTCTGCTGGTGGCTTTGAGACAATTGTTCTTGATACCCCGCGAGTGGGCCAAAGCAATGGTTGTGTCATGCGAAAACAGCACCCACTTGCTCGTCAAGTCAATAAATTCAGAAAAATCACCGAAATTATGCACGTGAGCAACAGAACCATTTTGACGTGCGGTGTGGCCAGCAACCCGCTTGGTCCTAGTATCCCGAGCTCGTCTCCCTTCTTGGACACCGAAACCTCTTCGGGAACGCCGCTGGTGGTGGTGCGGTACACGATCGATTCGATACAAATGGAATTGGCAAGGGCGGTCGGCAGGTACATGTCACTCTGTATGCACATCGTATGGCGAAGCAACACACATGCCTGTCTTTTTCCCCCGTCGGCGACCCGACACCTTCTGTTGAACATCAGACCTCAACGTGGCCCTTGGCCCGCTTGTTCCACGATCGATAGCCGTACATTTTGCGGCATCCCATGAACTCTGTGCATCCATCCATGTTCAGTTGATGCGTCCCCATCGGTCTCAGAGAACTGATTGTTGGAGGGGGAACACGCCAATGGTACATGGCGCACTCGCGGACGGGATACGCGCTGTCAAACCCTTTTGGCCCATGGAACTGGGGCGTGGCCTAACGTTGCCGTGCTTAACGCCTGTGAGACACTGTCAGCAGTGTGGGTCGAGAATAGAATGTCGCCGGTTTTCCGCTCCAGGTAGTTGAAACGCCCAAAACCGATAACCCAACTCTTTGGTTTCGGACTTTTGTCGCATGCCGTAATTCTCACCCACAGCAGCAACTCTGCCAGTGCCGGGGGAGGGGATTGTTATTCTCCCTCGCACGCGGCGGCATCTCACACCTGTGTTCGACGTAATCCTTTGTCTCTGGGAGGAAGAAAACGACGAGGATGAGGGTGAGAACCGACATCAACGC